TTGAAAACACCTATGTCGCCGATGATGGTGACGACGTGATCGATGCGTTCATTGATTTGCTTCGTCGCGACTGTCGTGCAGCCTGGCGTTGTTGAGGCCTTGGCCTCAATGCCTTTGATGCGTGCGATGGTAGAGTTCATCAGCTGTTGCTGTTGCTGCTGCTGCATTGCTGCGTCGCGGACGCTGGCCGTTACAGCGGCCAGGTCTTGCTGGTACTGCTGTTTTTGTTGTCGTTCCGCGTGCAGGTGTGCCTGCAGTAGTTTGTTGTTCCACATTACTCCCCTCATTACGTTCAACATCACGGTAGCCAGGTTACTTCTCTCTGCCTCCGCCTGTGTCGGCTCCGCCTGCGTTTCCGTAGGCACAAAGATCATGCCTTGGAGTACCGTTGTCCACTGATGCTCACTAGCAATCAGGGACTCCGTGCTGGCGGCATTCCGTCTGTTTCGTGCCGCTTCGTCAGTCTCAGCTGTCCGCTGAGCTTCGGCTGCCGCCTCATTGGCCAGCCGCTGACGTTCTGCCTCTTCCGCAGCCTTCTGAGCCTCGGCGGCGGCTACGGCGTCTGTAAATGCCTGTAGCCGCCCACGATAGTCAGCCAAAGGCTCGCTAGCCTCTCGGACCGGGCATGCGGGGAGATCTCCGGTGGTGTCTTGTACTGTCAATGTCGTACTTGATGCCGCTGGAGTCGTCCGTCTGCTGAATCTCTTGGGTCTTGGAGGTACCGCAGGGCGGGCACGAACTGCAATCCTGGCACTGCGCCGTGGCGGTGCCCTGGTGTCCTGTTCCATCGACATCAGTCTGAACTGATGCGGTACTTGAGAGGTGCCGGTGTTCACAGAATACAGGGGGGTAGGGAGAGTGGGAACAGGGGTAGAACAATCAAACAATACGCATACAGTCCCCTGTCCCACTGATGGACTGTAGACACCTAATCAAACAGAAAAAAATAAATTTCCCGTAAACCCTTTAAAAATTTCGTAATAAGGAATTAATAACGAGTTAATCAATAAAATTAATTAATGATAATTAACGAAATAAATCCGAATGATGATCAGTAAAACAATGTTTGTAATAAAGATAACCAATAATCATTATTTGCAATAAAGATAATCAATGAATATAATTGCAATCATGATAATAAACGAATTTGAAAGGTATTATGATTAGGTCTCTTTGAGATAACTTTTAGTCCGGGAGTTTACCATTAATGAGTGAACTACCCGGAAGTTGCAGTTTGAGGGTCAGATACGGCTTAGTGTGCTAAAAAAAAAATTCGAAAAATTTCAGAAGAAAAAAAAACGCTCGAATTTTCAAAAACGCGAATTTTCGAGAATTTCCACCGTCAAAATCCGATTTTTAAAAGCCTAAACCTATTTTCGGAATTTCTCGAACAAGGGGAACGAAAAAAAATTTCGCAAAAATTTCGTTCCCAACCCGAATTTTCCGCGTTTCCGCGAAATTTCCGGATTTACAGTCCCAAAACGTTCGAATTTCCCCAAGTTGATCTAAGACCCAAAGATTTTCGTAACCCTAATTTCCAATACTGAAAGACAACGGAAAACCAATTTACAACAAAAATGCCGAAAACGGAATGCTGAATGGAAATCAGAAACGCCGAATTTCAACATGATACTGATTCAACCCTAATTCGTGTAACATCAGAAATCCGAAACTTAATCAATTATCGGATTAGTATTACTCAATCGGAACTCAAATAGCAGCATACCGGAAGAAAACAGAAATCCGAATTATAAGTCCGAACACCGAATTGAACGGAAATGCCGAACTAAATAGAATACCGAAAAGAAAAATTTTGCAACTTTGAACTTAATAGTAGTACAGCGCTGATTTGGAAGATTGAGAAGGCAATCTAATTCCTACCTTTGTGAGCAGATCCGTTTTATGGTCTGCTCCGATACCAAAACTGTTGCATACTTCGATGAGTATGGGCAGAACCAAAGATCAACCAATATAGGATGAGCATGTATGCAGCGGAAGTCTGATAAACGGACTGACTCAC